TTGCTAAGAGGCAGAGTAGCTTCCCATGACTCGGATATGTTAGTTATGTCACAGCTTCGCAGTTTTCGTATTCTTAAATTTGAACTTTCCTATGCTGCATTTGAACTAGTCTAATAAAGACAAATTTGATTTCCCTAGTGTTTACGAGCTTTCCAGTGATTACATTTGAGTGGGCATTTGCTTATGTTTTCCATTTTGTTAAATTTGAACTCTCTGTGTTGATTTTATTCGACAATTATGATATGAACTTTCAATTTCAATGGAGGCTGTAAGAAAGGTGATCAGTCGAAAGTGAAGACGAAATCTTTTATTTACGAAATTTTGTGACAGGGCAGGTGGGGAGAAAAGAGAACATGATACCCGGGGGGCGTGACAATATCATGACGGCTGGATGGGGGAGGGGGGAGGAGGGCTGGGTTGAGGGGAAAAAATTAAGTTTCGAGAAAACAAACAAGCGAGCCTGTCACTTCTGCCCTCCTGAAACCCAAGACACATTAAGTCTGAAACCCCTTGTCTTGATCATAATCATGATGACCTCCACCTCCATCACATGATTTATAAATAGTAACTAATAAAGAAACGAATCATGTGACTGTCGATCACATGACTATAGATCAAATAGCTTTGGAACTCTGAGAATACTACACATTGTACACGCAACCAAAGTACCAAAGAGAAATTACAGTGAAAGCTTCGAGTAGCCTGATAGATCTAGATCTAGATCTAGATAGTGATAGTCAAACCAAACCTGATTTTGCTGCGACTGCTAACTTTGTTTAAACCGACAATTAAGAAGTGTCTTTGCAAATCTTCAAGACGTTGATTTTCTTCTTCTTGTGAGGAGAGGACAAGTCAAGAAAGGCAGGTAGTAATCTAGAATCTATATCTAGAATCTAGATCTAATCTAGATTCTAGATCTAGTCTAGAATCTAGATTCGAAGTGGCTAGCCGTACTGACTGCAAGTCTAGCCGTACTTAGATCTCTAGGTTTGGCCCTATCGACTCAAGCCTGTTAAGTACACAGGTCTCATTAGATCTAGATCTAGTAATTATTCAGGTTCAAATACATGCAAGTCAGTAAGGCACCTTTTTGTTTTGTCTGAAATACAAATACTTTAGGCATTGCAAAC